TCTCTCTCTCTCTCTCTCTCTCTTACCACCCACCCCTTTCGATCTATCTATCTGTTCTGAATACCGGTTTCCTTTTTGCCGCGCTTCTCGCGTCACAACTAATTATACAGTTAACGCTATTCCATTATTATCGTTATATAACATTAAGGCATTACATATTTATAAATTCTTCGTGTATTCACTCGCCACTATACAGCAATACCACGCTAATCTCGGTAAACTTATGCTTAAATAGACGTGAGATCGCTCGTTGCAATAGTTCAGGCTCCAAAGGAAAAAAAAAAAAAAAAACACAGGAGAAAAGAACGTTTATGTGAAACAGGCTCGCAAACCGGACCGGAAGCGGTCTTTGTACACGCCGCGTTCTTTCATCGTTTCTCCCGCGAAACAGAATCTATTTCCACCACGAAAATCCCTACTTCTCTCTCTATTTACCCGTGTTTCGCTCGACAGTCGAAAGACTTGGCTAAATTTTCGATTTACCGCGAGAATCGGTTTTCTTTTCTTTTTCTTCTTTTGTCGCGGATGTGCAGAAAGAACGGACGAAATACTCCATGAAAGACCACCCGATGCCAGATGCGCTAGCATTCTTTGTTCCGGCTTTTCCCTCTTTCATCCATTCTCACTCGCCCCTTTGTTTGCTCGCTTCTTTCACACTCACCCTTTTGCCAAACGTACACACGCACTCGTAAACATACACACACACATACACAGCATCGTTTCTTTTCTTTTTTTTTTTTCTTTTTTTTTCGCCCATCATTTGCACGCACGCAGCTTAAAGGACCTGCTAATTATCGTATCGTCAATAAATTAGACATATTTGTCGAGGCAACGTTGTTCGCACAGGCAGGCGGCAGGCAGTTCACGAAAAATATCTCGAAACACCCATGCTTTTTCTGTGTGTGTGTGTTTTCATCTTCTTATCTTTTATTTCCCTATTTCCCTCTATTTCTTGGTTCGCGAACACTCTCCGCGACCGAGGCGGGAACAAATTGGAAAATGTTTCGCTTTCGGTGAGAGGTCGTGATCGCCAAGATATTCCCTGCGCTTTTATCTTTTTTTTTTTTTTTTTTTTTTTTGTTTAGTTTTCAGTGGACGATCGATCGAATTATCGACAATTATTCTATCCGCTCCCTGAAGTCAACGTTGACAACAATGTCAAGGTTTGTGAGTAAAAACTTCCAAGGTAAAATTTAAAGCGCGACAAGTATAGTGAAATGGTTGTGACACGATTGTGTCGTTGGATCGATCGATCGATCCTCATGTGTAATCATCGTCGAATGTGCTGTCGATGTAAAAGAAAAATTTGCGGCATTGAAATAAAAAGAGAAAAAGATTGGATCAACCTAAGGAGGTGTTGTCCGACGTAAATGAAAATAAAGAAAGAACTAAAAATTGCTCATGCAGATAAAAACGAAAAATCACCTTAGTTATTTAAAAAAGGGAAGAACAAGATAATACAAATTAAAAACGGAGAAATAAACAGGACACAAGATATAAAAAAAGAACAAAAATTCTGAACATAAATGAAAATTAAA